AATCTACATGTATGTCCTCACTTACTTGTAGCCTAACACCCACTCAGTAAAAACTATTGTAAGTAGATTGCAGGCTGCATGTTATCATGTATGCCACGATAAACAAATATCATAACTCATACACAAACGATTCAGAAAAAGTTCAGATACACATGTATAAGTATTAGAAAAATGGAAGAAAAGGAGATACTAAGCATAAGGTGGTTTAATTATAAATTTTGTATTTATAGAGTTAATAATTCCTGTTTTCTCCTATATGTAGAATATGGAGAAATGAGAAAAGCAATGGCAAAAATACAGGAGAATAAAACAGGTTGTAGGTTTTTGTTTGTGGCTTGCTGTTGTATGAGTACCTTGGAGATCGTGATTTTGTTTTCCCTTGAGGGATTTCTGTTTTATTTTTCACATCAAGGAAAACAGCCTGTGGAACAAAATGCAGGTATGTCTACCAGTATTTAAATCACCTAGCTAAGGTCTGCTGCTAGAATGTTACCTCAGCTTCTGGTTTTGAAAGTGTTTGGAGGGAAAGAAAATAGTATGGTGAATAATAAATTTACTTGCCCTCAGACTGTGTTGTGAAATACCTCAGAGAATGGATGGATACATCTGATGAAGATAAAAGACACATTGGACTATTTGTCTAAGCACAACAGCAGAATTTATAAGACTTGACAGTTTTGGATGTTTGTTAGGATTTAGCTGCGTTCTATGGAAGAGTAATGAAAGCCGTAAGTGATTGCAGCGTGCTGGAAATTGGCATTTGGAGGTATCAGGAGGAGCCTGAGCTGTCTCCACTAGTGCAAAAAATAATCCTGAAAGGCAGCAAGCTGAACCATGAGTTGCATTGTCACTTTAGCTACTGAGGAGCATATTTATTTGATAACTTTAGACTGTTGGAGAAAGTGAACAGAATCCAGAACGTTTCGTCTAAAGTGGTAAAATATTCCTTTACTACATCCATGTCCTAAAAAAGTCTCCATTTCTGTAAAATGCAGTAGTTATTACAGGCTTTTGTTTACTTACCTTTAAGAAACAAAAGCTCCCATTTGCTCTGTGAACATACTACAGATGCACGTAATAAATGAGGACACTCATCCCAGTTTATATAATCTCTCTTTTTCCACTCTTTGTGCTAAGTACTATTTAAAAGCCACAATTAATGAGAGAACATGTGAGGTCCTTTAAGACAGTTACCTTGCACTGTCTTCACCCTGCTTCTCTGGGGAGCACTATTTTGATTATTTGTCTTCTGTTTTAGTCACTCTGGGGCTGATGTCATACTTCCACTATCAGAGGAATTGTGCAGCAGTAAACCTACGCTGTGCCAGCCTCTTCCTTTGCTAAGTACAATTTAAAATTCTGGAACCTCCTTTCTCTGTTGCTGTCTGCTCTGAACTGAACATACACCCTTCAGAACTGCAGGTTTTCAGAAGGTAAGTCTGGCAGATCTTTGCTGCTTATTGCATGACAACCAGAAGACACACATGATTTTATAAGTATCTCTTAGAGTCCAGCTAAAAGATTCCTTACTTCCAGATATGGCAGAAAGACTCTGGGTTTGAGAGGCAAAACTCATGAGGATTTGTTTTGTTTTACTGGAAGAGGGCAGGATTTGCTCCTCCACACTCCTGTCACAGAATGGGCCGTTGCTCTGTCACGACGTTTATCAGTTTTCTGGGAAACCAGCTGAATTACAGGAGATGAGACCTATTTCTTCATCTGGTCTGTGTTACCCAGCTGGCTTCAAGGCCATTTTCTGAACATGCATGCACATGGGCTATGAGAGAAGGCACAGACTAGTTGCTAAGTGGGCTTTCCACATCTTTACAGCTCAGTCCATGGTTGATCCTGGGGAAGATTAATTTATTCTCATTCTTAATTTGGCTGGCCCCAGATGTCCAATAGAGATTTCAAGATGCATACTTGAATGTGCCACAAACCTGACTGCTGGTTTCTGAGCCCACAGACATCTCTGCAGAACTAGGCTACGAGGAAGATGGGACGATTGCAATGGGTCAGTCTAATCCATGTGGGCATAGGGGGATTAAAGGCATAGGGACATCTTGTTTTGCCCTGGTAAAGGTGATGAACATGCTTACAGATCTCAGTCAGAAATTCTGCAACGGCATGAACAAATACAACTTGAAAATAATGTGCATTCACTCTGGCAAGCCCTGCAGAGACAGTAGCTTTAGGCTGCTGAGATCAAGAGGCCTGAAGCATCTGGAATGCCGGTCACCACATTTCATACCATCTGAATTATTCAGCAGTGCAATCTGCAAGGATCATAAAAAGGAATATTAGATTCTTGAAAGAGCAGATACAGGAAAATTTTCTCTTATGAAAACCATAAACAAATGCAGTTCCTTCCAAATCCCAACACCTTCTGAAGCTGTTCTCAGAGCAGAAACAGCTGTCTGTTGGATAAGACCAAGTCTCTTTTAATATAATACAGCCTCTGATTTTCTTTGTCGCTCAATCTGCTTTTAGGCTTGTAAACTATGCCAAGGGTCTGTGCTGAAATGGCCAGTTCTCAGCCACACTCTACAGCCACAGTGAGATGTTGAGATGTGGATGATCACCTCCAGGAATTACTTGCTGTATTCAAAAGGTGTGGGAGAACACAGGTTTTGGTGGAGGAAGACTGCAATTGATGGTTGTCCTCAGACTTGAAATTTTTGTGGAAGAGACTAGTGTTCAATGCATTGCCCCTGGATTATCATTACAGCAAGACCAAAAACAGTAGATGAAAAAACTCTGCTTCAGGACCAAGAATACTTTGGATAATTAGGTTCTAAAGACTTGACAGTGGATGTCTGAGTCTCACATTTTCCCTTGTTCCCCAATGCCCCTTCAGAACACACTGTGGAGGATAATCAGTCCCATGAGTCTCACCAGTGTCTGAATCTTGCACAGTTTCCTAGTCACAGTCTGCTTGGTTTTTGAGTATCTTTCCTGGAGACTAAAATATAGCACTTTATCTTCAAAATATATATGGAGACAGAAGTGTGCTACATTTTCTTTGCAGGATATTTTCACTGAGGTGCAAAGGCATTTGAAACGTGTTTGGAACAAGATGGTTGTTCCTTTTCTGCCTGTATTTAAAAAGTGGCTTCTGATTCGGTGTGTTTGGCTCCACTTAACTGCTAGGACCTCATTTCCAAAGGAGTCAAACATTTATATCACCACAGGATATGTGAGAATTCTGCATGCTTACCCTGGTAGCTGCTTATGGCTATTCTGCTCCTGAACCCTGTACATTATAATAAAACAGGCACAGATGGTGGTCATACATACTATAAAGTGCTTTAACAATGCCAGATGCATGGTTGGACACAAAAGGAGATGTAGGAAGCAAATCCTTATTGGGGCCCCAACCTGAGTGCAAATGAAGAGCTATGCTCACTTTCTCCGGGTGAGTGGCCTTCATTCTTGTTTTATTTGTGGGTTCCTAGCAAATTTCCAGTAGGAAAGCAGCTCCCCCCACCCCCACCCCTACAGCAAATATTAATTCCCTGGTAATAGCTTTTCCTTCCTAATCCTAAAAAGATACTAAAGTCCCAGAACTTAAACTGTTGCTGTAGAGCATCCTCTTGTGAACAGTGTCACAAGCTCAGTCATTCTTCAGGTCACTGAAGAGGAGAAACAGAAACCCTCTCTGGAACAGGCTCAAGGCTTTCTTTTCACCTCTCAAAATAGCATCCCCTCCTGTTACTACAAGGTCCCTTCCTTCTCATTGCTATTCCCACTTTGACTGTCGCCCTGCATGGAGGGCCTGCAACAGGAGGCACTAAAGGCCTGGACTCCTCTCCTGCGTCTCTCAGAGATGTGCTGGCCCTTTGGCAGTGGTGAAATTAAGATCTTCTCTGGGACCGGGTTTAGGCAACGATCCTAAAGTGCAGGGTAACCTGGCAGAGACCACTGCACTACCTTTCAGAGGCAATGGGAGAGACTGGGCAGCACCTGGGGAAGGGTTGCAGAAACTGCAAAAAAAGCTTAAATATTTCTGTTGGTGTCTGGGATTAAAGTCTGAGGCACTGGAACTGCATATATTGCATAAAAACTAAGTAGTTTCACAAGATAGGTAAGAAGTAGCGAACATCCACCCTGAACAGTTGCCACCACCATTTCTGTGTGACAGGGAAGAGGAGATGGGTGGCATTTGTTGGACAGACTCACAGAACCCATGGTCCTCACTGGGGGCTTTGTCAGCAGAATGCGTGATGCACCTTTTCTTCTATTAAACCTAACAGTTACACATGCTGTTTACACACAAACTCTTTCACAAAGCTGAGGACTGAGATTTAAAAGCCAAGAAGTTTACTTTTAGTTCATTGTTCGAAGTCTTCAGGAAGAAAATTTTGGATCTGCAGGGAATAGTCTAGTTGCTATGGTCATAGGTCTGACGTACGGTTTGGGTGTCCATGAATAGTTTCAGAGAATATGCCCAGGCCCCTCCTGCTCCCCCCACCTCGCCGCGGCCGCCCTTTTTTTGAGCGTTGCGAAAAGAACGGCAGCGAGGACAACAGTGTCACCTGCTGGTAAGCGAAATGACTGCTCCTGCGTGCTGCCGTCTTAATTTCCACTGCCCATCGCTGATTGCTTTTACGTGTTCTGTGAGAATACCGCTTCTCACCTTTACATTAAAGGTGACAATGCCATGAAGCGGTGCCAGTAACCGATACAGCGACGACAGCATTTCTTTAAATTTCTGTGTTACTTAAATACTAGAGATTTTCCGAGGTTTGCTTAACGAACAATAGAGTGGCTTTGGTGATAAAGCTTTTTTTTATGTTAGCTATATTATTTTAATACCACTTTAAAATCGAGGCTAATACTGAGGCAGATTTTGTTCTGTGTTTGCTGTTGGTTAAGAGTACATAAAAGCCTATTACGTGTATCACCTGTGCACCTTAAAACCTTCACTTAAAGTCTGTGGATCTCACACTTCTGTATAAGCCTAACACATATGTATGTATGTATTTCACAAGGGTGGCCAAATGAATGATCATACAGAAGAAAACGGCAAGAAAAGCAATTCTGCCCAGGTAACATCTACAGAAGGAAATGTCTCTCCTGCTAAAGACTGCTCAATAACACAAAAACAATTGGTATGACTTCTCCAGTACCATTTTATTATCAATATACTTACCACTGCCTTCAATTTCTTCCATAATTACAAAAAGTAAAAAGCCAGAGTCAATAGGGAAGTATCTGTAATAACAACAGTGAAATGAGTAAAGTTTGCAGTGCAGTGATACAGAGGGCTAAGAGCACTCCCGAGCTCAAATAAAATACTAAGTAGGGAAATAGAAGAGTACCCTTTGAGGAAGGACTATCTCCATAGCTTATTGTTTGTTTCCAAATTGAAATTGCATAATTTATGATCACAGATAATAAGGATGCTGAAGCATATTTTCTGAGCTGAAAATTTACCCCAGGCTCAAAAGCAGAACTGTCTGAATAACATAGGTGCATGAGACTACCCTATAGGTTTTCAGGAGGATGCAACTGAAGATGCACAGCATAAACCACCTTGTAAGTGTATTCAAGTGCATGGATATTTCTGAATCGCTGTATCAGCAGATTGGACTGAACTGCCACTGCTTTGCCCATGAGAAGCAGTGAAGGCACTCAGTTGTTTGTGAAAAATCACTGTGGACTGAAAGGAATGGCACCCCCCAGGGAAGCTGAGGGGTCACAAGTCAGCTCCATTTATCTAAGAGGAGAAGAGATAAATTTGCATGTATTTTTGTGCTTTTGCATAATGAAATACAAGTGTATGTTCAACGTCCTCAGTCATTGTTCAAAAAGAAATTGTTTGACACAATGGCCATGTTTGTTTACATTGACTTCAGACATGACTGTCAACATACATGGGCTATGTGGAATAGCAATACATAGAGCTGATGTTTTAACCTCCAAAACTATTCAGCAGTTTTAGCTAATTGGAAACATGAATTCCATAAAAAAGGCAAGGAAGTGCTCCCTCCTATTTCTCAAAAACTGCTCAGTTTAGCTTCTTTATTTTTGTCTGTGCTTTTTTCATACTCCTCTTGTGCAAATGCTTCCTTCCTGCAGTAGTTGCTCCTCCAGACACTTCTCTTGCCCCCAGATTATTTGGGCAAAGATGGGTTCTAGGCATCTGTGGGACCAGTGAAGATAAGGGCAAATCTAGTTGAGATTCTTATAATCATAGTACTTGTTTTTACATCATAGATGAATAAAAAAATACATGATTCTGCCTTCCACAAGACAACTTGCAAACTCCATGCTGCTCTACCAGAGTCATGTCTTCAGAGTCATGGATGCACATGGTTGTCTGGATGCACAATTGGTTGAAGGAATACTCAATTAACAGTTAGACAAACAAAACATTTGAAACAATGTGATCTTAATTCAGGTCAAGTTTTTCTTCATTTTCCTACCTGTGTTAAGTTGCCAAGAATATTAATTTTAATGTCATTTGAAAGCCAGTGAGGACTTTTGGCAGCTAATAAGTATTTGTTCCTATTGTACTAATTAGAAACTTTCTGTTGTTTACTTATAGCAACAACTTGAGAAACAATTAAAATACTTAGCCTTTCAAAACCCAGGACCTCAGGTAGCTGACTTCAATCCTGAAACTAGAGAACAGAAAAAGAAAGCGTACATGTCACAGATGAAACGGAAACAAGATTTTTTTTATAAACCCAAGTAAGATGTGCTAATTTATTACATATTTTACTTTTAAAAAGGACTGGTATGCTATTTACTGAATATAAATTAAATTAATAAAAGCATTAATATTTTACAGATAGATTTCTTACTACACATGAAAGCTGTGCTGGGAAAACAAGCTTTTTCTGTGTGACTTAAGAGAATTCTGATTTACTTCTTTGGCACACTTTCATTTTTAATAACAGTGGCTGTTGCAATTAGGATATAATGCCAGTATTTCATTATGCTGCGAGGTTGTTAAAGAGGAAATATTTGTTCCTGGACAGATGTTTTCCATGTTTGGTTTAGCCTTCAAACATACTGAAGCATTCTTTGAGAATCACTTTTTCTTCTCTTTCACAGAATTACAAAGAAGTATGACAAACATGGCAGGCTGCTTTGTAATAACATCGATTTATGTGACTGCCTGGAAAAGAACTGCCTGGGTTGCTTCTATCCTTGTCCCAAATGCAATTCAAACAAATGTGGACCAGAATGTCGCTGCAATAGGAAATGGGTTTATGATACAATTGAGACTGAAGCTGGCAATGTGATCAGCATGTTGCCATTTTTTGTCCCTGACTGATTCTCTTCTGATAGTTTTTGTGCCTGCGCAAAGTTCTTCTTTCCTCACATTTTATTAAAGTAAATCTCGGCTTTATGAATTGTCTCTAGTGAAGTGCCAGGCAGTCGTGTTTGTGCTTCTTTATTGCTACCTACCTAGCAGACTTTAACCTTCCCCTTGAAATAAAAGTATGTATTCCATTCTTCCTCATCCTTGTGAGCCTTACTGAGGCATCTAGTCAGTCCTTTCTAAATCCTGACTTTCTAAAACTGAAGGTGTCTGGACTGCTGTGGGAAGACAATTTTCTTACCCTGGGAAGCTGAACCACATTACTTGTAATGAGTTTATTTTCTTGGCAATTTCTCTGCTTGTTCATTTACTCAGACGTGTGACTCAGCTCTTTCTTTTGTGTTTCTTTCGTTTTCTGCAAGTGTCTTTTCCTTCTGATACATTCATATCTTCTATAGATGAACCAGGAGTCATTTGAGATAAGTGTTCTTTCAAACTAGCCCACCACTTTTCATGTCCCTCCATATATAAAGCAGAGGAGAGTGGAAACTACTCTACAATTCTTTCTTGCTGCCCAAGATTGAAACCAACTATTCAGCCAGCATTTTTTTTAACAGCATATGGCACACTCACACTGGATCTGTCATTAATTATATAGCTAGAGGTAAACAGATTCGGTATTTTTGCCTCTGGACAGAAAAGTCTCTTCAGTTCTAGGAATTTCCTCTTCATAGAACACATGACAGATTTCAAATATCATAACTTACACCCAGGCTTCTTACGAAGTAGGCGTTCTCCTTCATGATGGGCGCTCACACCCTTTTTGAGGATTAACGGTCCCTCTGCCTCTTGAAGGGGGGAAGGCTGCAGATTGCCACAGGTAATCTCCAGGAGCACGCTGCTAGTGGTGGAATTATTCCCTGGGCCCAGCGCTTGTTGTTTTTGAGGAGACTCCCCAACTTTGAATGTGGCACCACTTTTCTCCCCTACAAGAGGCCATTCTCTGAGGACAAAGACCTTCTGCTCCACAGCAGAGAAATCAGTAGAATAAACTTCCTGGAACAGATGTTAAGAATGCCTTAACGTGACAATCTCCTTCTGACTTGATACCTCAGTAAGATTTGTGGCTCCTGCCAACTAACATCACCTCAGTACTTAAGCTTGTAGCATAAAAACACCCAGTACCAAAAAACTTCACAGGAAAATTTGCTGTGGTGGTTAAAATACCCTCTGCTTGGCAGTTGGATTTGGTGCTGTTCTCTCATATACCTCACTGGTCCCAAAGTATCCTTTGATTTGTGACAGGAGTCCAAATAGCCCACCATCATCTCTGAGCTGTGTTTCTTAAGGTAGATGGAAATCCTGCCAGAGTAGTCAGGGATTTGTTTCTTGTTACAGGTGTGCCACGGACTCATTTTGGACTTGCTTGACTAAGCAGCTTTTCAAGAAGATAAATTTGATTTACAATGACAGGAAGACGGCAGCCTTCCTTTGATATAACCTCAAGCTCTGAAATGGACAGGTTTGAATTAGCTTCACTTCCTTTCTGCATAAAGGCAAAACCCCGAATAGTTTCTCAGGTGCATTCATGTGGTAAGGCTCCATGTTAAATTTTTAGAGTAATGTGATTAAACCCAGATTAGTGTAAATCCTCAGAATCCCATTATTGAATTCATTGGTGTTACTTTGTGTTTTTTTACATGGACCGTCTCTGTCACAATCATTGCTAAATGCAAAGTATAAGAGAACTCCACCACAAACACACTTAGTGCAACCTTGAAAATACAGCACAAAACCTGAAAAAACAAAAGTGAGAGCCAAGATAAGGGTAATGAAATAAGAGGACGTTGCAGAGGCAGTTCTGCTGTGGCTTGAGAATGACTCTTTATCGTTGAAATGATCCTGCTAACTTTTTCCACAATTCCAAATGAGCAGCTGACAGTGCACAAGTATAATTCCTATTAGGGCACTTGTGCATGGAAGGGGGTGGGAAGGGGAAAAGAAAGAAAAAGACCAGTGTCATACATACATTTATACTGATTGTGAAACTTAGTGGTAGATACATGTCTACAAAAATAACAACAGAGTGCCAATATCTGATAGTTTTTGTTAGGCAATTACACAATGCCACACTGCATGACATTGTGGCTTTAAATAAAATCCCTTACCAGAAAAGGCAGATAACTTTTCTTATTTTCTTATAAACTGGCCACTCTCCAGATGACACTGGATCATCTTTTTACCTTATAAAATGTCAGTCTCAACATTATATATTTTTCACTATGGAATGTTTGCTTTAGAAAGCTATTTTTTAAAATAAGGGGAAGCAGATCAATGAACTGTTCCATAAGGTCTGTTGGTTCTTCTCTCTCTTCCCCGCTCTGGATTTTGCAGGTTAGACAATTTGTGATGCTGTCAATTTATTTTGCCTGTCTTTTCCTTGTCCATGTGGCTGCTTTGCTCATGGGTACCAGTGATCGCACTATGCCTTAAGGAGAGATGAAAGCACAGGTACATATATTAAACTATAGCCTAACTAAGATACCATCTCAGTCTTTTGTCTAAAAATTGATTCCGATTCTTTAATTTGAATTAATTGTGCCTTCCACTGTATTTCCCTTGCTTACAATCTGGATCTATCTGGAAGGAGATATTCACCCTCTGCTTTATTAGATGTTATTACTACAAAGAAATCAATCTCATGGAAATGAATAATGTGCTCCTGCATGATTTTTGTGTAAGTAAAGATGGTTCTTTCTCTACTAACCTCCTACATGCTTGGGCATTGTTGTACTGGGATCCTCCTTATTTCAAGACTTCACTGTGCATCTCATGCCATTTACAAACTTGAAAACTAAGAAAACAAAATAAGAACTATGCACAGCATCTTGTTGTTTGCCTTCATCGCACTCTGTTGGACTTAAAGCCAGAAAGTTAGCCACTGAAGACGCTCGTTATTTAACAATTTGTCCATACTTCTTGATATCAGAAGTTGTCCCAGCTCTGGGGAAAAAAACCCACAACAGCTGTCCTTGCATATTGCAAAGGACACTTACAGCTGCTCCTAAAACAATGCCCAATTTAAAGGAAATATTAACAAAATTATTATCATGTGGCTCAGAAGAGGACACAAGGAAAGTGAAGGCCATTAAATATTGACTTTTAAGTTGCAAAGGTGTGCTAAATGCAAAGAACACCCGAGGCTTTATCAGGTGAGTGAAGAGGTGGGAGTTTTAAATAAAAAGGCAGGCCAAAGCCGTATTGGGGCACAAGGCTGATTAGGTAGTCAGCTGTCATAAGGCCACCACTCCCACGTCTGCCTCTAATGCTAAAAAATGGGCAAATTATGCTGACTTTTCTCTTGTTCAGTGTTTGCAAATTAAACAGATTATAGCACTGTAAAAGAACGGACAGAAAATGGAGATTTTTCTTCCCAAAGTAAGCTCCCAAATTTTATAAGAAAAGTGTTACAGGATTCCTGTTCACATGGAGACTTAATGTTAGGCAACTACAGTAAACTGCACGGTATTCAGTTTACCTACAGTGCTTTAAAAATGGTGAAGGACAGTCAGCCCTAGGAGAAGTCAGATCTGTGGTTCCAGAAAGTCTATATATTTCAGTCACAATCTGAGACCACTAAACTGTTCCTCCTGACTTAAAATGAACTTCTGCATATGGCGAAGTGTTATTCAATCCCATCACATCATTTAGAGAAAAGTAAGTCCACACTGCTGTTGACCTTATACTAGTATGTGCCAGCATCTGTCAAGGTGAGAACTCTACAGTTAATATTTGCCAGCCTCTGTGATTCATATAAACACAGAAAGGCATTAAAAAGGGAGAAAAATAATACTTTGAACTCTGTTCCAGGCAGTTTTCATGATCCTTTTGATACCTCCTATAAAAGCACAACTGAACTTTCTCTATATACATTCACACCAGAGCAGAATACAGATTTGATTCACCTCAGTGGGAAAACCAGAAGAGCTTGACCAAAGAAATATAGACTGATGGTTTCTTGATAACTATTTAAATATGCCCTAGATAAATGCACCAAAAACATCACAGTTGCTGCAGCTCTATTGAGTTATTGTTCATTATCTTAAAACATTATAAAACTAATTATGCATGTTTCAATGGACTATTTTGTTTGATTCCATTCTATTTGGAAAACAGATATATCAAGTCTGAGCTAACTGCAACTTTGGACGTTAGTCAGAACATGATACCTGCATTTCATTAACCCTAATTTGTAATCTTAGCATGAACCACAGAAAGATTTCCTGTCCTAGTATTTGCAGAGAGCAATGCATCTTTTCCCCATTGGCCTGGTCTTGTAAGTACTGATCTGCTGCCACCTCCACTCAGGTGCAAGTGTATGAATGCTGGTCCCTCACAGGATCCTATCTGTTTGTGTTATAATGGAATAAATGAATGCCTGTTGTCCACAGCTGAATCTCCTGTACTCTCACAGATGCCTTTGATTAAAAGAGTAGGCTATGCAGGCCTGACTTCCATTGTGAAGCACTGTGTCACCCAAATAATCTGACTCCCCTCACATGACTAGACATACTAATGAATGTTCAGGTATAAGCACAAATATAGCAAACACTAAACCAGCATACAGAAACAATAAACTAAGAGCCCCCTGCCCTTACTCTTCCCAAGCAGAATCCAAGTAGTCTTGGTGATTTTAATGGGATTACTCATTCAGTGGAACGCAAATAATGACACAGAAGAAATGGAAGATTGTTTCATAGTAACAGTCACAGACAGCAACAGAGGAGTAATTATTTCCGATAGACATAATTTAACTGAAACACTTAAAACACCCTTTGCAAAAAATAATTATTTTTTCAACAAGATTTCAAAAGTTGAGCTATTTAACACTAGGTGAAAGGCACAATTCAATCCGTGCCACACAAATGTAGTTTGCTAACTTCAATTGCTTAAGTCATTTGCAAGTTGCAAGTGAAAATTTATGTGAAACATTATTGGTTTATTTTCATTGAGTTGTAGGACAATTATTTAGTCAATAAATAGTGTCAGGGATATTGTAGAAATCAGATCTTGAAGGAGTTCAACGTGTTCCTTCATGTGTACCTTCAGAAGTGAGGAAAAATAAGAGATGAAGATGACAGAAAAAGGAAAGGCTTGAGTGTGGACAGAATGGCATTGCAAGTAAGAGGCTATGGAATAAAAAGTGGATTAAAAGGAACCCAAGAAAAAAGAGAAAATAATACACTCAAAGAAAACACGTCCTGGTAGGATCTTGAGAGCCTGTAGTCCTCACTGCTGGATCAGCTTTACTCACTTTCTACACATTTACTACCCATTTTTCATGACAGATATTTGTCTCTGTGCTTTAAAACCTGTAATGAAAGAGATTCTTCAACTTTCTCATGCAATTTATTACAGTGTTTAACTAACCTTGTGTAGAAAGTATTCTGTAATTCCTAACTTTACATCCTTTTCATGCTCTATACAGTGAGTTTCACCTGATAACCATAGAAGTATTTTAAAAAGCAGAGCCTAAATTGATTCTAACTGAAGGGCTGGGTGATGAGAAAAGGCTGTAAAACAAACCATAATCAAATAACACAAAGGCTTGTTTGGTCTTTGTGAAAGAACAGAACATACAGTTCAATTTCTGGAAACGCAAACTAGGGCAGACTGAGCTTTTCAAGATTGTTGTAAGGCAGTAAGGCTCCTAACTTTCATTAGCAGCTAAATGCTATGAAGTGCCAGTCACTGATGGCTAAGATTTTGTCATAGGATGTGAGCAGATTAATTCAAAAGCCCACACAACATCCATTTGCATGTCTAAGTGGAATATTTTGAGTCAAAACATGGATAACAATTTGACTCAAAATATGTCTTAACTAGATGGATAGTTAAGACCACTGATAAAATACATTAAATTGTGTAGTACCATTAGCTCAGTGAAAAAAGCTATTACATTGGAAAAATGGATCATGGATGCAAGTACAAAACAATAATAAATGAATGGATGTATGAGAAGTTACAACATTTTATGATTCCTTTTTATGAACAGAAAAAGCATTAGGGAAAAAATACTTAGTTTTACACCTGACAGCGCCTTGTGAGGTCAGCTTGATTATTTATGATTTCCAACCAGGTGCTCTCTTTCTTGTCTTTCTTCATTGAGGCATTGATCACAGAATAATATAGGGTGGAAGAAACCTCCAGAGGTCTCAAGTCAATGCTCCTGTATGAAGCAGGTCCTGTTGGAGCAGGTTGCTCAGGATCCTGTCCAGCTGAGTTTTTAAGGTTCATTGTTTTGACAAGTCATTTTGAATATTCATTTGATGCAGCAAAGTGTGAAAGAAAACACTTTAAAATAGGTGCATATGATTATAAAACCAGAGAACTGGCAGCAAACCTGCGTGGCACATCCAATACCTGTATCAACTGGAACTTTTTAAAATAAGTAAGCAATTGTCTAGACTTCCAGTCACCCTTGCTCATTTTGACTGAACAAACTTTACAAAATTTTGCTCTTGGGGGAGATTTCCTAGAACAAGAAGTTACGTTATTTCAGTGTGGAGCGGAACACTCATTTTTCTTTTCCAGCGAAATAAATTTCTTGCAAGGATATTGTTTTTTCATGTTTTATACGAGTACAGAAAAAACAGATGAAATAGTTGAACGTAATTCTATTTCACCCCAGAACAATAGCTTGAAAAATGTAGCTGCCTTTCATAACAGCGACTGTGGGTCCAACTTCTGGTAAGAGGTATAGTACAAATGTTGTTAAAGTCTCAGCCAGGAAATCTCTGCTTTAAAATCCTGCTGGAGTACAGCCAGGTTTGTCACTCTTTTTTCCTAAAGTTGGTTCTTATGGCTGAGTCTGCTTAAATAGACATTATCTTTTCAAATGTCCTGGCTGAAATCCTGGCCCTATTGAAGTTAATGAATAAATTCCCCTTACTGCAACAGAGTCAAGATTTCAGCATACATGTTAATAAGACATTTCTTTACAGTATCTCAAAAATTTCCAGCCTTTTCCCACCTGCCTCTTGAGCCTGACATCATTTATTACCACACACCTAACCCTTCAGGCCACATTTTATAAAACTTTACAGCCACATTCAGTAACCTTTTGCAGATTTTTAATATTTTTAGTTGGCTTCCTAGGAAAACAAGTGATACAAAGTCACGCTGCCTGCTCCTCTGTTTGCTTGTCCCATTGTCTTTTACCCCATTTTTTAACTTCAGCCAAATCTGATGGAAACTAGAGGTCTCACACACCTTACACCCATTCAAGGTAATATCTGTGGAATAGAAACATGCACTTCAGTGCTGCTTCCCTGTGAGCTCAAATCACAGAATCACAGAATGATCAGGGTTGGAAGGGACCTCTGGAGATCATCTAGTCCAAACCCCCTGCCAGAGCAGGGTCACCTACAGCAGTTGCACAGGACGGCATCCAGGCGGGTTTTAAATGTCTCCAGAGTGGGAGACACTTGCCAGCAGTTCCCTGTCTTTCTTGAACTGGGGAGCCCAGAACTGGACACAGTACTCCAGATGCGGTCTCACCAGGGCAGAGTAGAGGGGGAGGATGACCTCCCTCGACCTGCTGGCCACACTCTTCTTGATGCACCCCAGGATGCCATTCGCCTTCTTGGCCGCCAGGGCACATTGCTGGCTCATGGTCATCCTGTTGTCCACCAGGACTCCCAGGTCCCTCTCCACAGAGCTGCTCTCCAGGAGGTCAGCCCCCAACCTGTACTGGTGCATGGGGTTATTCCTCCCCAGGTGCAGTACCCTACACTTACCCTTGTTGAACTTCATAAGGTTTCTTTCTGCCCAACTCTCCAGCCTGGCGAGGTCACGCTGTAAGGCAGCACAGCCTTCTGGCGTGTCAGCCACTCCTCCCAGTTTTGTGTCATCAGCAAACTTGCTGATGGTACACTCTATCCCTTCATCCAGATCATTGATGAATATGTTGAACAAAACTGGGCCCAGTACTGACCCCTGAGGGACACCACTTGTTACTAACCTCCAACTAGACTCTGCGCCACTAACCACAACCCTCTGAGCTCTATCTGTGAGCCAGTTCTCAATCCACCTCACCGTCCATTCATCTAAGCCACACTTCCTAAGCTTTCCTGTGAGGATGATGTGGGAGACAGTGTCGAAAGCCTTGCCAAAGTCAAGGTAGACAACATCCACTGCCCTCCCCTCATCCACCCATCTAGTTACTTTGTCATAGAAGGCTATCAGATTAGTCAGACATGACTTCCCCTTGGTGAATCCATGTTGACTACTTCTGATAATCTTCTTTTCATCCAGGTGCTTTGAGATGACTCCCAGAACAAGCTGCTCCATCATCTTCCCAGGGATGGAGGTGAGGCTGACCGGCCTGTAGTTTCCCGGGTCATCCTTCCTGCCCTTTTTGAAGACTGGAGTGACATTGGCTATCCTCCAGTCCTCAGGCACCTCACCTGTCCTCCAGGACCTTTCAAAGATAATGGAGAGAGGCCCAGCAATGACTTCCCCCAGCTCCCTCAGCACCCGAGGGTGCATCCCATCAGGCCCCATGGATTTATGTATATCCAATTTATCTAACTGATCTTTAACGTGCTCCTTGTCAACCAAGGGATAGTCTTGTTTCCCCCAGACTTTCTCTGTTACCTGCAAAGTCTGGGTCTCACAAGGACTGGCCCGAACAGTGAAGACAGAAGCAAAGAAGGCATTTAGCAACTCCGCCTTCTCTGCATCATCCGTCACCACAGCACCTGTCTCATTCAACAACGGGCCCACATTTTCCCTAGTTTTCCTTTTGTCTCCTATATACTTAAAGAAACCCTTCCTGTTGGCCTTGACATCCCTCGCCAGGTTCAATTCCAAGGCTGCCTTGGCTTTCCTTGTTTCCTCCCTGCATACCCTGACAGCATTCTTGTATTCCTCCCAAGCAGTCAGCCCCTTCTTCCACCTATTGTAAACTCCCTTCTTCCACCTGAGCCTTTTCAGAAGGTCCCTGCTCAGCCAAGCAGGTCTCCTTCTCCCCTTGCCTGATTTCTTGCTCTTTGGGATGCACTGATCCTGAGCTTGGAGGAGGTGACGCTTAAATAGCAGCCAGCTCTCTTGAGCCCCCCTACCCTCTAGAGCCCTCTCCCATGGGATTTGTCCAAGCAATTCCTTGAAGCGATCAAAGTTAGCCCTCCTGAAGTTTACGGTTTCACACCTACTTGTCATTTACATCCTCCACCAGTCCCTCTTTGTTTGTGAGTATCAGGTCCAGTAAAGCACCTCTCCTTGTAGGTTCCTCCACCACCTGAGTCAAAAAGTTGTCATCAATGCACTGGAGGAACCTCCTGGACTGTATATGCCCAGCTGTGTGGCCTTCCCAGCAGATATCAGGGTAGTTGAAGTCCCCCATGAGAACCAAGGCCTGTGATTGTGAGGCGATTCTCACCTGTCTGTAGAAGGCCTCATCAACTTCCCCATCCTGATCAGGTGGCCTGTAATAGACACCCACATCTCTCACGTTACCCTGACCCTTGATCCTTACCCACAAGCTCTCAACTTCCTCTTCATCTGCCCCCAGGGAGAGCTCACTACATTCCAGTTGCTCGCTCACACAAAGAGTGACTCCACCGCCTCGCCTCGCTGGCCTATCTTTCCTAAAGAGAACATAGCCCTCCATGACAGTGTTCCAGTCCTATGAGCTATCCCACCATGTCTCAGTAACTGCAATGAGATCATGGTCCTTTGACCACACGCTGTTCGTGCGCCTTGCCAACCAGCGTGCCCTTGGCCTGAAACCCGAGGGGAGTGAAAACAGTGTGGGACAGGGGAGAGTTTGGGGTTGTCACCTGGGAACGCGTTATTTGGGGAAGACAGGGGCGACAGCCAGCTGCAGCGTTGGTTCCACGGCCTCTGGGACAACCTGCTGTAACACTGCAGGGGTGACAACTTTCCGCCGAGTTCACGGCCCACTAACCAGCAGTGGGCTGACACGCGGGTTGGAGCCGGCCATGCGCTAACAGGCAGGCACAGCAATGGCTCTGTGGGGTGTCACACAACCCACGCTCCGCCGGAACGGTTCAAACATGAGCCCCAACTGCACACGACAGAGTGGGATGGGAGCAGTCTTTTTTCAGTGGCGCCCAGTGATAGGACGAGGGGTAATGGGCATAAACTTGAACATAGGAAGTTCCATCTTAACATGAGAAGGAACTTCTTTACTTTGAGGGTAGTGGAGCACTGGCACAGGCTGCCCAGAGAGGTTGTGGAGTCTCCCACTCTGGAGACATTCAAAACCCGCCTGGATGCCGTCCTGTGCAACCTGCTGTAGGTGACCCTGCTCTGGCAGGAGGGTTGGACTAGATGATCTCCAGAGGTCCCTTCCAACCCTAACAATTCTGTGAATTCTGTGGATGTTCTGTCCCCGGCACCTTCTTTGAGGCACCAGTGGCGCCTGAAGAACAGAGTTAACAGTTTATCAGGGAGCTTTGTTTGGGACATGGTTGAGGCATCAAGGAACGTACCTACCTTGAATAGGATGTGAAACAAAACCATGTGTCTAACCCATTTTTTTGCTCTTGCTGACTTAGATGTAAGACAGCAAAATGTAACTTCTGGGCCAAATTTGAGTAAAGAGTGTATTCCAAACTAACCTTGGGTCATTATAATGCTAAAACACACCCTCCTTTGTGAGTAATGAGCATGCTAATCGGGCAACCTTCTGAAATGTGTTAAACATGAGCTTGGATGCATATGTATCATTAGGAGCAGTGAATGAACCACTACTGACCAATCAGCTGTAATTTATCATTATAAATACGGGCGGTTTGGAACGTGAGGTGTGCTTGCCGTTGTCAGACAGCCAGCACGCAATCCTGTGGAACTGAAATAAAACCAAATACCTCGACTCAGTGTGTTCACCGGCACACCGGGTGAAGAACCCTCATTTAGGGACAACCACCAGGACGTCGTTAAAACCCTTAAACCCGACGATTTCAACTACAACCTCCCCAACGGTGGCGGGCAGCCCCAAACCCCTGAGAAAAGCGCCGCCATTTCGCTCCTCACCACTGGCCCCAGCCACGGAAGACGCCTGGGGCCTGCCCGG